GTCTTTGTTCTAATATCCCCGAAAGCAGTGCGGAAAGACCGTCTTTCAGTAGGCCTTTCGGCTACATTGGAAAGTCTTTGTTTCAATATAGCCGAAAGCACTGCTGAAAGAAGTTCTTTCAGTAGGCCTTTCGGCTATATTGGAAAGACGACCTTTGTATCTGCCGCAAAGGTCTATCGAAACATGATATTTTCGGGGGCCTTTTGTGCACAGGTGATACTTCAAAAACCGATTATGGTTGATTCGGCACCTAACAGACGTTCTTTTCATACGCCTTCCTTACATGGTGAATAGAATAGAAATTAATGAAGCCGGACAGACATATTAATTCTAGTTGTGTCTGTAATGCTTTCCTACTTCATTGAATCTTGCTAAATCAATCAAGATATATTAGACTACGAATACACATTCTTTTCGTAAGTCTTTTAGGCGACCTTAAAAGGTTCCCATCCTGGGTGTGACAACTCCTTCTTGACATCCAATACAGCCCATTCAGATGGTAAGCAACGCTTGGTTGCACAAGGTGTGCATCTGCTGAATTTCGATTGCTGACGCTTTCAAGTTTACGCAGAAGTCCCCCGTTCGATTCGGGGTTAGGCGATAAACGGTCTTTTCTCCCTTTTTGCCTTTTGGCCATCTGGAGTTCTATCTCCTTTCCTTTTTCTGGATGATTTTTATGAAAACGACCGAACACTTTTAGAAGGCCGGTGAAGTACAGTTTCCTCCATCATGAACCCAGCATCTCCTATTTCGTGTCTTCAGGACGTCAAACCTATTTGGGTCTCGACCGAATGCAAGCGTCGGGGCCCGTTATTCAAGAACCCAAGCACGCAGAATACCACCCGACAGCACATGATGTGCCTCTACTTCAACTATCCTGGGCTTCCAAGTGTCTCTTGAGCAGACGACCCTGTTCGATTCGGGACTGGGTGATGGATGGGATACACTTCAGTTCCCTCTTTTTGCCTCTCGCAGTGCCTGCAACATCCGTCTCTTCTAGAAACAAACCGCAGTGCCTCGTCCAATTCACCGTTGTGTTTTGAAGGCCGATTACAACTCCGAGTGAGTCTATGTCAGTATCACCGGCAATTCAACTGCAGTCAGCTAGTTGTACAGCACCGCTCAAAAAGTTTCGTGTATATCGAAGGATTCAACAAGAGGAATGACACCCGGTGGCACGAGGTGTGCGTCTGCTTTTAATAATGCGTTCAATCTCAATGTGGATGCAGAGAAAGCCCGTTCGATTCGGGCCCGGGTGATAATAATCTCGGCATTCAATGCTTTTTCCGTTCGGTCCATTGCTCATGATTCATCGCTCTCCCAGCCAATAGAGTCGTTGGGATGCACTTGCGCGAGTTCTTTTCCAACGTCGAACGAGGTTTAAGATGGGAAGCACGGTTTGGCTTTCAAGATGTCCGACCGATGGATTCGGACCCTTCGTCCGCAGCTTTCTTGACGTCTAATACAGGCTATTCAGATGTTAAGCAACGCTTGGTTGCACAAGGTGTGCATCTGCTGAATTTGAAGGTTTCGCTTGAGAATTTACGCAGAAGTCCCCCGTTCGATTCGGGGCCAGGCGGTCTTTTCTCCCTGTTTGCCTTTTTCGCTCCTCTCCCGTTTCTTTTTCTGGACGATTTTTATGAAAACGACCGAATACTCAGTGAACTACACAGTTTTCTCCATCATGAACCCCATATCCTGTTTCCTTTTTTTTTTTTTTCTGACTCTTCAATTCCGGGTCAAATTTGCATTAGGGTCTCGACCGAGTCAGTCCCGTATATTCAAGGACCCAAGCATGCTGAATACCACCCGGCACATGGTGTGCCTCTGCTTCAACTGAAGAAGTCGCTTTCTTAAGCAGACGACCCGTTCGATTCGGGGCTGGGTGATGGCTCTTGATGTCTTGGGGTATTTTCTTTTTGCCTCGTAGTGCCCCGCAATGGCATCCACCTCTTCGAGCCACGACCCGTGGTGCCTGGTGAGTCTTTCGTTGTTCATGAACATTGAATTACACCTCTTGGCCGGCCAGCATGTCAACTTAACTCCAACTCCAGCACTCTTACTCTCAAAATTCTCGCGTATACCGAAGGATTCAACAAGAGGAATAGCACCCGGTGGCACGAGGTGTGTGTCTGCTTTTCATACTTAGTATTTCTTGAAACCCTCTGAATGCAGAAAATGCCCGTTCGACTCGGGTCCGGGTGATCATTTCCCGCACACCAGCAAAAGTAAATGTTCAGCTCGGCTGAACATGTTGCCAAAAACAATGATTTAGGCTTAAAAAAAAACTGGCCTGAAAATACACTTGAAAAGAACAGATTCAGGGAAGCTTAATAAGGTGCCAAAATAAAGGAATTCAGCAGGACATTCGGCTGGGCTTACAGCAATTTGCGGAACATAAGGTGCGGATCATTTTTTCTATAAAAGCACTTTTTCAGTAATGCCCCTCCAGAAGCTTCAATTCTTGTTTGTTGGCCTCGAAACCATTCCAAATCGTTTTCTATTGTAATTCTACAGTGCTTAGGATATCCCGATGATTTTTTCCATCATGAAGTGGTCGATTATGTGAGGGTAGGGTGTTTTGAACTAATTACCTTATGCAATCGGATAGGGTCCTTGGGGCCATCCCATATTTACGTATAGCCATCATATATGCATATTAAATTGCGCTGGATAGTTAAGGACCCTCCCTGTAGCCTTTGGGAACATAAATCACTGGCACAAACTGAGCCTCAGAGTGGCAGGGCCAGTTTCTTGGTTTATTCTTGCCCAGTCACCAATTAAACCCTCCTAAACACTGTGAAATATGCCCAAGATGATTCCCTTCAGATTTCTGGGGCACACTTCTCCTCAGTTCTGTGATAAGAGGGTATATACCCCAGAATTCCACTTTTTACCAATAAACAGGAACAAATCACCCAATTGAGAATACAGGGGGCCTAAGCACTGTAGAATTGCAATATAAAACGATTGGGAAGGGTTTCGAGGCAAACGAACAAGAATTGAAGCCTCTGGAGGGGCATTACTGAAAAAGTGCTTTTTTCTAGAAAAAATGATCCGCGCCTTATGTTCCGCAAATTGCTGTAATGTGGTCATTTCAGCCGTTTTGAGTGTTTGAAAGTGAGACTGAAAACCATTTAATGGGCCACACATTCAGACTGTGTGAAAACAACAATTTTGGTGTTGCCGAAACTGTAGCCAAAAGCATTGTTTTTGGCTACACTTTCAGCTTTGCCGAAAAAATCACATTCGGCACAGCCGAGATCGGAGCCGAAAGAAGTTGTTTCAGGTCCAGCCGAAATAGCAGCCAAAAGGTGTTATTTCGGCCAGAGCCGAAAGTGCAGCTGAAAGTAACACTTTTGGGGCAGCGGAAAATAAGCGGCCGCTGGCAGCCGTTGGCAGCTGCCAACTGTGGCAGTGCAGCGGCCGCTCAGCAGCCGTGGCCATCTGACTGGGAAATTGGGGATTTCTTTTTATTGCATGACTAAAGCTATCGGTTGAAAAAACAAACAAGATATTCTTGAGGGTAAAAAAAAATGAAATGAAACAAATTCGGGGGAAAGAAATTTGGGAAACATTCATATGTGAAAAACATTTATTCAACCACACTGTGGCACCAGGTCGCACAACCACAGCTACAACTCGATCTCAACCGTGCTGAACTATCCCTGCTTTTTATCGGTGGGATAAGTGCCATCCAATTATAATCTTTATAATCCAATTATTAGTATATTGCATTGCTACTCAGCGGCCGCTGCACTGCCACAGTTAGTTGCCGCCAACTGCCGCCAGCGGCCACTTATTTTCGGCTGCCCGGAAAGTGTCACTTTCAGCCGCAATTTCGGCTCAAGCCGAAATAACAACTTTTGGCTGCAGCCAAAACAATTGTTTTCGGCCGTGATCTCAGCCGTGCCAAATGTCATTCTTTTGGCATAGCTCAATGTTTGGCCGAAAGCAATGCTTTCGGCTACAGTTTCGGCCACACCAAAATTGTTGTTTTTACGCAGTCTGAATTTGCGGCTCATTTGATGTTTTTCAGTCTCACTTTCAAGCACCCAAAATTTGTGGCCAAAATGACCACATTCAGCCCGGCTGAATGTGCTACTGAATTCCTTTATTTAGGCAACTTATTAAGCTTCCCTGAATGTGTTCTTTTCAGGTGCATTTTCGGCCCAGTTTTTGTTGAGGCCTAAATCATCGTTTTCAGCAACATGTTCAGCCGAGCCGAACATTCACTTTGGTCGGTGTGCCAGTCTCGCCGTAGCTTTTTCCCTTTGGCCCATTGTACATCATTCATCACTCCGATTCAGTCCCAGCCCTCTTTACTTACAAAGTCCGATTTGTCTGCCTAGGTTGCATCTCATCTTGTAGGTGAGTGACTCCTCTGTGTGATTTATTAATTATAGATGTCCGCACTCATTGCAATCTGGGTAGATCTGGAATTTACGAACTGCATTGATATCAGGCTCCGTTCTGGGCCATGAATCATATTATAGACTCCATTCAGCTTCAACTGTGAATATGGGCCAACCCAACCATCCAATCCGAACACAATCAACCAGGTTCGAGCACACAAAGTTATTGAACGTCCGGGAGGGAGATAGAATTAGTGCTGACCAAAATTATGATACGGAATTTCTTTTTTGAATGTATTCAGAAGAATACAAATATGATGCGGCCTTGAGCCCGACCTCAGAATACTAATATGCGAGAATACAATACGTTATAATATGAATGCTTGGCACCCCAAATGGCACCATTGGGAGGGCAATATTCACCGTTTTTTAAACCTTTTACCTCAATAACAAGTGTGGGTAACAGACCCGCACATAGAACTTGCAGATTGATTCGTCCTGGCTTCCGTTTTACTTGTCTGAGCGGCCAGATCCAGGCCCTGGGTTTCATTTTGTTGTTGGGGTCACTTATCATGGAATTAATTTCCTCACAGATAAATTCGGGACTGTGTGTCCTGGCTGTGTGTATCTTACTCCAATATTTGCTTGGCTTGAATCAAGAGAAGACGAATGAATATCTTCCCAATTTGATTCGAACCGCTGGCTCGAAGCAGTAGGAGAACAGTCTCAGCACAGTTTTCTCTCAAGTGTGAAACAGAACACCATCCAGAATCTAGTATGTCAGCCTCGGCCCTCGAAAATCCGAGGATGCCTGGCCTTTCTGACTTGGCCATCAACAGACCATATTCATGAATCATGCTTCATTGTTCGACTTGGGACATGTGTGGATTTTCTTGTTATCTCTGTTTCTCTTCTTCCCAAATTTTCCCCATCAGTGTCTACCTTTGCAAATTCATTCTTTTCAATTCTGACGCTGTTCACCAGGGAGAGGGATTGTTAGTTATCTTTAATGCAGGAGCCCGATTCAATTTCAATCACTCCTCAAAGCTCACGAAGAAGTAAATAAATGACTATGGAAGAGCATATAATGAAGTTTAAGGAACAAATTCAACACGAAATACTTGATACACATAGTCAATAATCCAAAGGTACATACGCCCCCCAAAAAATGAAAGATGGGATAGTGTAATCCTTCCACTGTGTATCAAGGAACAGTTGGATATTATCAGAACCAACCAAGAGAATGAGGTCACTGAAAGGCAAATATATGAGAAACCAACCACCATGTTACACTCCCATGTGGATAAATGGTATCCAGCACTGGTACGAAACATTTTGGGCCTTCAATGTGTTCATTGCCAAATGCAGTGCCTCTGCAGCATCAGTGGCTTGAGGCTGCCTACCATCTTGAAATAGATGAGAATAGAAGGTCTTGGCAACCAGTGGTCCATCTTGATCATTCATCAACCAAAGGGTACCAATGGCACCACAGAAACCTGCAGCAATAAATCCACCTCCAAGATGAAATGATTCATTGACCAGTTCAGCATCTCCCATAGCAGTTTGACATGCAGCAAGGAATATAAACTCTGCATTTGAGAGTGGTATTCGGAGAATGTTTTCCAGCTCCAATACACCATCGTAAAGCAACAGGTGACTTTTGGTTGGGTCAATTAAATCTTGTGTTCCATGGCAAGCTAAATGGATGTAAAGCAGTTCTGGAGCAGGTTCTGTACTGCTGATGAGGTTGCCTGTTCCCCTTTAAAGCATTCCATATTGGGATCTTTGATCACAGAGCAAATCTTTTTGACCTCTTGCTTTACTCCTTTGAGGTAGTTTTCTCTCCCAGTGCCAGTATGTGTTACTCCGACCACTCCCATCTTATGTTTGGTGTTAGCTAGTTTCTTGGTCTGAGCCTCTAGTAGAGATCCCAATGTCGTTGTATATGAATGAATAAATTGACTTGTTGGAGGGCATGCATGCAAAGACAGTCCTATGAATGCTCCACTGGGAAGCCACCACAGTCTTCCATTGTAAATACCATGCCATTTAACCAGTCAGATTGAGCTAAAACAAAATTGATTATACTCACCAATGCCAAAACTTGACATACAGGGTCAGCAACATTTGTCCATAGCCAGGTTAATAGATCTTCAAAACACGGGCTCTGACATCACAACGATTCAGTAGCCCTCTGAGGGCCCTCTGTTGGGATTTGAGGAGATCATGAGTAACATTTGGAAGAGCAACATGGACTGGATCTGAAATGGGGTTCAGAATTATGATTCCATCACAACCCTCTTCATGACTGTTCAGGATCACAATGGGGCCCCTTTGTGAAGCATGACATAGAACCATATGGAAGAGGAAGCAAGAAATGTTCAAGGCCTGGTTGTTCAATGTTTGCGAATATCCTGAAGGAGCTCTGTTCTTTCACGCGCAATTCTGCTGGGATCATCTGCTCTCCCACTATAGAGTTCATATGAAAGTTTTTGTAATTTCTCTGCATACTCAGAAGGAAGTATATCAAGATCTGGCCTCAGTTGGAGCATTTGCTGGAATGTGGTGGCAACTCCCTGCTCAAAGAATTCTACAGCAGAGATTGGTTTGGAAAGTGCAAGGGAGATCTGTGTGGCAGCTGAAGCCGTTCCCCCAATATCAAGCCAGCGAATGGCATCTTGTCGAACAGTAATTGTATGGCCCATCCACAATAGTTTGGGAAGTAAATTGAATGCAGCAGAATAGGCAGCAGGACAATACAAAGGCTGGAATTCTTTTGAAAATGAAGCCCATCTTAAAACTGCCTGCCAAGATGATTCAGGATTGGAAGAATCCTGTGTCTTGAAGGAA